GAAAAAGGACTGCAGATTTGTACCGGTAATCAAGCTCTGATGCATCATTTCACGGCGACTTTTCGCGCCATATATAGCAGTAGTTGTTCAGCGATTGATAAACCAGCCGAGATAATTGTTTGGCAAACTATTATTCCCGGTTTTCAGTGAGGTACCGTATGAATACATATGTGGGCGCGCGCGTGTGACATTCTAATTCGAAGCAAAAATGGGTGGAACGTCCCGTTCCATGAAAGCATCGTGAGAAGTGAGAACCTGTCGTGGATTCATAAATAAAACATGTCCACACACGCAATCACCCCAACATCTAACGTAACAGAGCTACGATCGATCTTCCTGAGTTTATGGAATTGTTTTTCTTTTAAACTACTCATTGATTAATGTTTTTATGAACACATGTCATATGAATCTACAGGTCCTCACAGTGTCTTCGTGGGTTATATTGCCACCCTTTTTTTCTAGAAAAATAGGCCAAATATTACAGATATATGCAACTTGAGTTGACCCACCTACCATTCTGTGGTGTCGAAGACTTTATAGAGCAGTCATCTGTATATTTGCTTAAAGAAGAATAATCAACCAGTAATTGATTTGTGCATATATATAATATATAGAGAGAGTAGCTAGGTGTAGCTAGGTAGGTACATATATATATATATTATATGGACACTATGTCACAAACTTCTAATTGGAAGGAACTGACCAAGCGTTTAGCTTAGACCAGTCTCTTTGAAAGAGACTTGTCATCATCATACTACTTCAGATCACGTCACTTCGCCGCCGGAATTAGACTCGCCAGCATATCCAATGCCAATGCACAAGAAAACACCCCTATTGACTGTTGGCTTGTTCCAAGGGATTCTGTTTCCACATGGTCATGCATGTTTCCCCAATTGCCTCCATCAAGAGAGATCAAATGGTGAAAAAATAGAAGGTACTAACAGGAAAATGTTAAAAGATATATGTGATGAGTCACTCATTTAAAACTTTAAAGTGAAATGTCAGAATCAGCATGCAAATTGGGACTTGGGAGGATGGGCCACAAGGCCCGTTAGGGCGAAACCCTGACCTCGGCCCCGGCGCCGGTGGCCCCCTCCTCCTCCTCCCGTCCCCTCCCTTCTTCCACCACCGTCCTGCACCATCTGTGCGAGGCCAGCCATGGCGACCCCGCTACACCATCGCCGTTCGGGAGGGCGTCGTCCATGACGGCCGCCCCCTCCTCGTCGCCGCCTCCTCCTCCCTCGTGCTACTCCCTTCCTCGGCCGGAGAACTCGGCGCAGCCACCTGCCAGCGCGCGAGCGGAGCCGCGCTGCAGTCCGCCTCCTGCGTGCCAAAGCAGCCCGGCGAGCCTAGGTCTCGTGGCGCACGGCCCGCCACCGGGTCACCGCTTCTGGGGGCCTCAGGGGCATCGCCGTAGCCGGAGCCGGTAGCTGCCATGGCAACGACGTCCTGCTCTCCCACCGAGGGTGCCCTTCACCAGCTGCACGCGCCTCTGAAGTGCGCGGACGTCGACGCCCGTGAGGCTCCGTCTTCGGGGCTAGATTCCGCGGCCGTGGCAACATCCCAGCTACGCGAGGGGGCCGAATCTGGCGGCGCCATCGACCGTGATGGCTAGTCCGTTGCGCAGCCGCCGCCACAGGGCAAGGGTCCCTCGCCCATGCCGGGGACAGCGGCCGCGATCCCTGTTCCAGGGCAGTCGCTCTTCCTCTCCCCCTTTGCCGCCCCCTTTCACCCAAGGGGTTCGGCGGGGTGCTCCAAGTTTCTACGATGTGCCGTCGACCTCCTTGACGATTCCGATGCGGATGCGTCACCGATCTCCCTAACCCCCTACCTCGACGCGGTTCTTTATGAGTCGCAGCCGTCGAGGGCGTCGCCGTCGTCTGTGATGGCCCACCCCACGGCTATTGGTGGCGTCGGCCATGCCGGGGGGCGGTGCAGGCGCATCAACCATTGTTGGCCATTGCCGAGGCTCATCCATGGGCTTCTTGTACGGGGCAAGGATGCGCACGCCGATAGCAGTCGGGTTGCATGGCGCGTGCTAGCCCACGTGAGGCTCGGACCACGCTCCGGCGGCAGCAGGCGTATCTTCGCTCTAGATGCTGATGGCGGGCGTGAGGTCCTGTTGCGGGGAACGCCAAGCGGCTCCGATGGGGCACGCCCTGTGCGTCCTGCACGTTCGGAGGAACGTCCACCCTCCGCACGCTTTCCACCAGACCTACATGGAAAGTGCTTCAACTGTTTCTCGCCCTCGCACCGGGTGGTGACCTGCAGGCTACCTCCGCGTTGCCTACGTTGCAGGGGGTTCCGACACCTCGCGCGCGACTACAAGCGGCGGCGGCGGAAACCTCCTACAGTTGTCGGCACAGGCGGCCGGCCACGACCACTTGCCCGGGACCGTACCTCGACCATCCAGCCACCGCCCATGGGTCCGACAGAGTCGGGTGGAGCTATGCCTGTGGCGACTGCTGCTGCGTCTATCGGCCGCGGGTGGCGGCGACAGACAAGATGCTAGAGACGGCCGGTGGTTGACACCATCAACTCCTCCAGCGAATGTTGTAGCCGACCGCGTCGAGACCGCCGCCGACGCTGCGGCGCTGGAAACCACTGCCACAGCCAACTGTGCTACCTAGGAGGTTCACGGTGAGCCCACCAGTGAGGTATGGGGCTTTTCCGAGCTCGATCTGTTGCTCACACAATACATGGAGGCCACGCACACCGCACGCGATGTCTCAGAGGACCTGATGATGGAGGAGATTGCAGCCTCGCTTGCGGTCTGTCGGATGGTCGCCGGTGACCTACTCGGTATCCTTGCTCAGACGGCAACAGGCTTCGCTCCACTTATTGTCAGGCTCAGGCCACGCCACTTCGGGTGGCGTAGACCACCCCATCAGGAGTTGCCGCCCCTACGGAGGACGAGGAGGGTGCTCCGCCTAGCTTTGGTCTGCCCGAGGCCACGTCGGATGCTGAAATGTTCAGTACGCCGCATCGGGAGGACCGCACGGTCGACGTCAGCGACAGCTCCGCCGCACGCTGCCTCAAGAGCTTCACCAGGCGTGTGCTGAAAAAGCTCGACTCTCCGCTTATTCGTGAGCCTCCCAAGCAGCCTCCTGCTAAGCCGGTGCTGTCGTGGTGGAGCAGACGGTTGGTGGCTCAGAGCCTCTCTCGAGTACCTGTCTCCAAGCGAGGTGAGGTGCTGATCATGCAGCGTATGTGCTACACCAAGGGTCCATCAGTGCCATCCGTGTCGGAGCTAAAGGCCTTTGACAAGATCTTCGATGGCAACTTAATTGCGTCCAACGTCGAAGCACTGGACGCGCTCTTCCCGGATGGTGGAAAGTGCTCGTCAAGGCAGCCGCGAAGACGCAAGGCCACCTCCTAGGTCGCACCGCTGCGTCGGTATTGGTTGTTTCCATTTATGTAATATCGAAACTAGAGATCTTTTGCTAGGATGGTCTACCTCCTTCGGCGCTCGGTAGAAGCGTGTTGTCTGTATGTTTAAACTCATCTTCTTAATACAATGATACGCAAATCTTTTGCGTATTGGAGAAAAAAAGAAGATATATATGATAGGTAGAACAGTCCAAAAGATGTGGGACCCATACCTATGTTTTTTTGTTTTTAAATAAAAAGTAACTAGGTAATTCATGTCTATTGTATTTGTTCACATCTCGCGGCATAAAAAAAACCGTCATTGTCGAGCTCATCACTGAGTGCCCTTGAATCCGTAGTGACGCATGGAAGAATCCTCAGTTGTTGAATCCCTATGAGCACACACCTATGCCAACATGAATGCCTGTTTGGTTGGTGTCGTAGTCTGTCACGCTTAATTAACCTTTGGCAAAGCGTGGCTGGCATATAAAGTGCGGTGAGCAAAATCACACTACCAGGTTGGTGCGCTTCGATCTCCTAGCCTAGTAAAGACTAGCGTACCAACTGTGCAAGGCACATGGAAATGGTCTTTTTAAATGCTAAAAGCCGCATGATTATTAAGTGCCAGAAGAATCCCACTTCACTAGGAGAAGTTACATATTTCGGTTATGGAAGCCACACTTGTGGCAAAGTTTGTCAAAAAAAAGAGAGTCTATGACATGTAGGAGGGTGCTAATAAGAAAGTTGGCACGTCGTAGTTGTGGTAGTTAATCAAATAGTTGCCCAAAAAACTATGGCATAGCTAATCCGTGTAAACAGGTCCAACATGAATGGCCTCTGATTGGTTGTATGAGTTTTTTCTTGGATTGAACGCGAAGCATTGACATGACCTACAAAAACCATGTTATATACATGCAACGCTGCATGACGATCGACCCTAGCTAATGTGTTGAAAACAAGTTACTATTCATCAAGTTGAAAGTTCACTCATGCAAGCACATTTGCCGCCTGCTGCGCTCGATGGAGTCTTTCTTGGACCGATTTAACAGGAGGAAGAGACTTGTCGGGGCTCCCTATGCTATACGGCAGCCTGGGCCGTGTTCGGCTTTCTTGGCTGATTGTCAGGCTGACCAGCCATCTGATTCTCGAAAGCAGGCAGCAGCTCCCAAACATGCTGAGATCTGAAGCAGGCAGCAGCTTCCTGAGCTGACCAAGTTTGGTATCTGTGATGTTATGAATTATTACTTCTGAATACTGATGGCAGACAAACCAGATGTTGTTGTCGTACCTGGCTAATAATTAATGCACTAGTTTATTTATTTTCAGGATGCTGGAAATTAACATGGGCCATTTGATATACTGCTACATTTGAGGCCCAATAATCCAAGGCAGGACCGAGGCCGAGAAGACGTTTGGGCCCAGTCGAGCGAGGACCCTACCGTCTGTTCCGGCGCGCGGCTGACGGCATGGGTCGCGTGGCCGTCCGTCGAAGAATAGCAGCACTCGTCGGTTCTCGTCGGTTACCTCCGCACCACCTGTCCGGCTGTCACTGCCATGCATGCCGAGAATAGCAGCGATGCCCTGCTACAAAGAGCATCTGGAGCAGAGGCGAATGCATATCGGCCGGCAAGATGCGACGCCACGCCACGACGATGATAGCCGCCGTGCTCTGCCTGCTCCTCTTCTCCGGCCGCCTCGCCGCGGCGGAGAAGTCCTTCGGCGGAGGTGGCGGTGGAGGCTACGGCGGGTTGGAGGCCGGTGGTGGCCAGCAGCCGCAGGCGGAGGCCACGGCCACGCCGCAGCCGGAGGTGGGTGGAGGCGCCGGTGGCTACTCCACCCGGAGCGAGGCGACGCCATACACGCCTGCCGCTGAGGAGACGACGACGACCCCGGCGGGGGCTTCGTCAGGCGGCGAGGCTGCTGCTGCTGCTTCCGGCGGCGAAGCATCCGCGGGTGGAGGCGGCTACTCCACCCCGAGCGAGGCGGCGCCATCCACGCCTGCCGCTGAGGAGACGACCCCGGCGGCTTCGTCCGGCGGCGGGGGTGGTTACGGTGCACCCGCCGGCAAGGCTGGCGGTGGGCTGGACCCCGACGGCGACCCGGAGGTGGGTCTGAACGAGAAGGCGATCAACGAGATCGTGGACGAGCACAACCTGTTCCGCGCCAAGGAGAACGCAGGTTTGCCGCCGCTGGTGTGGAACGCGACGCTGGCCAAGTTCTCGCAGCAGTACGCGGAGACGTTAAAGGGCAACTGCCAGCAGATCCACTCGTCGTCGCCGTACGGGGAGAACCTCATGGAGGGCACGCCGGGGCTCACCTGGAAGATCACCGTCGACGGCTGGAGCGAGGAGAAGAAGAACTACCACTACGACACCGACGCCTGCGACGCCGGCAAGATGTGCGGCCACTACAAGGCCGTCGTCTGGAAGACCACCACCAGCGTCGGATGCGGACGCATCAAGTGCAACAGCGGCGACACCATCATCATGTGCAGCTACTGGCCGCCGGGGAACTACGACGGTGTCAAGCCATACTGATCTAATAATCTAATACTCCATTACTAGCTGCACACATATATCCATTATTATCCATGCATGCATGCAGCATCAGTAATCTGCTTTTGTTTTAACTAATAATTTTCACCTCGCTCCCACAAATATATTTGTCTCTCTCTCTCTCACTCACTTGCGCTACAAATTGATCATTCATTTCTAAAGTTTCTTGTTTGCTATGATTTTCCTGAGTTCAACCTGAAAATGAGGTGTCTGTCAGTCTGTGGCATCACCACCATCTTACCACTCTGTTGAGTCTGTTCTCGCCACCATCTTTCTGCACACCAAGGATCGCACCGGCTCATGGATGTTAAAATATACCAATGACCATTGCAATTCTCTGCTAAAAATATATCAATCCACTGCATTGCACCGCTTCTTCCTTATGCGCAACTAAAAATACAGAACAGACCAGTTTACATAACCATCAACGTTGTGATCAATAAGATACCTGAACTGTTAAAAGGAGTATTATATTATATAAAAAACAAGCAAATACAAAAAGTCTAATGGCTACACAGGATGGAAACCATGGTGCTCAGACAACTAAGAAAGCGCATTGATACTAATCGGGCACTCATCTCACTGGCGAGTGATGCCCTTCCCTTATATTTACACATTTCCGGCTGCCTGTGCCTTCTTGCCTGGAACTGCAACTGCAACTTGAGCATCAAGGTGGGCCATGTCATATTTTTCAGTGTGCTCACCCTTCAATTTTAGTATCACATACAGCATCAGTCCAAAGTATGGCGTCACGAAAGCAATTAAACCCAGGGACATCCATTTACTGTCGCAATACTTTAGGAGAACATACACAGTACCAATGTACTGTACAGATATCAACAGAAGGCCAACATTCTGAAAAAAAAAATACACAGCGGGGACGACAATATTAGACATCGTCATGAAAATGGAGAAACAAATGATGAGATTGGAAAACATTTTAATAAAAATGGTACTAGCCAAATATGGCCACATCATGCCTCCAATTGACAAGTGACACGTTCAATTTCGGGCCTCCTCTCCGTTCTTCCTTGTACAGGTAGAAGGCAGCAGGTAAAAGCAGGTGTTAACAGGTGGAGAGAGATATGATGATGGGAAGGACGAAGACAACGGCATTGTTTCCCTAATTTGTACATAATTTCATATGCAGAACGAGAACAATGCAGTGGCACATATCTAATAATTGGCCAATTAATAAATGGAAAAATCCATTTCCATACACAAACAATTCACTTTATTCAATCGAGCATCTCCCAAATATCACTGTCTCCAACGAACAGCTAACAATAATGACAACACAGTGCTAGAGGCCTTGGTGACCACTCGGCGACGCTGTGCCAAGGCGAGGCGAGTTAAGGTAAGTATATTTTCATCATTGAGGGCTTATTTGACTGCACTCTAATACACCTCAATCCATATGTATTGCGAGGGATTGCAGTGAATGAAAAATAGCTAACTATTCACCCCCTCCCCCAACACATGTGGATTGGGCCTGAAGGAAAAAACAGTGATGGTATGCTTGTGCCAACTGCCAATCCTTCTATATAAGCAAAATGATATTTTTGCAAACATTGAAGTTAGTTTTTTTATCCAAGTAGGATGTATTCCCCAACTAGGACTGCAAGGGGGGCAGGTCGACCCGCTAGAAAACACGATCCAACCCTAAAAATTTGCAGCAGGTCGGAGCGGATCGACCCTAAACTAAAATGGTTACTCTAGGGTCATGAGTCCATCAACCCCGGGTCGAACCGACCCCCATCCCCTTGCTCTACGGCTCCCCATCGCCCCCTCCGCCTCCATCTCTCTAGCAACAACTGGATCTAGAATGCTGTCGATCTGACGTGAGGCAACGCTATATAATGGGCACTCGCTCCCCAACCTATGCCTCCTCGCTTGTTGCCTCCCGCAATCCCGATCCTCCTGTCCGTCTCGTGGTCTCCAGTAGCCGACGACTACATGGCTTTCCACTTCTCCCTGCCGCATCATGGTACAACTTGTTTAATAAATTTGAGCTTATCCCATATAAAGATGTCATGATTCCAGAAAACACTAACATTGTACTTGCACAATCACTTTTGAATTAATGAGTGCTACAAATTAAATCGTGTAATTTGGAGCCTGATTCTGAAGTTTGCAAAGATCGTACCAAAACAGTTCACACATGTTTTGTTACTTGAAAGGGAGTAGAGTAAGAAAGCAGGATAGCAGTAGAGTAGCATGTTAATTTGATGTCTCAACAAATTTTGTTAAGGGCACTAATGATAACCCATGCATAGCCATGTTGTTTCAACAGATCAATGCGTGATTTTTATGGAAGATAGGGCAAAGCTCTATGTACTGAAGTGTCTGAAAAATAAGTGCCAATAAAGACAAGATATGTTAATGCATTACAGCTCATCTATATTGGTCATCAATTTGCACTCTAGCTAGCGTTGTTCTTTCATTATATGCTTGCGGCCTTGCACTTGTTTAGTTAATTAGTGGAAATAACAGCAGAGTAAAAATAATCCTTACATGTTGTTTACGTACTTTTATGCAAGTACGTATCCATTTACATTTTCTACCCAAAGTCTGTTTTCAATCCTAATGATTCTAGTTTATAGCTATGTTCTTTTTTTCCCGAAAGATCCGTTACCGGCTTTCATCGATAAGAATGGAGATGCCCCGCTCGGTGTTCAGATGCTGAACCCCTCGCCACCCTGAGAATTACATGATCAGTTTACATACTAGGAATAACAACTACTGCAGTTTGCCATTCACATATAGTTCCTGACTTCCTGTTGAGTCTAGTTTATTATGACAATGTTACTCAGAAATGCAATTTGCCATTCACATAGAACCTGCTAAATATCTAATGTTATATTACTAATTTGCACTGCTTTGGATTTGATAATCTGATCACTGTTTCTCAGTAAAAAGATGACATGTGTAGCCCATACAGGTAAATAAATGCTGCCCATTAATTATTGCCAACAATTAAAATGTCTTCAATCAATCGTTCTACTTAATCTGGACGTCTCTTGTGTTCCTGAAACACACACTCTGTTTTTGCAGGAAAATTTCAACCAGAGTGAACCGTCAATTTATTTATGTATTTTTTATTTTTAAATAGGAAAAACATCTTCTAAATCCCAACAGGGTAAATCTTCCTTATTAGATCTGACTTGCATATCCTATTAGATCTAACTTGGAGGTCTAATTGTGATCAACATGATTAAGGTGATGTGTGAGGTGCGTTGGGATGGTCAACAATTCAACATGAGGTGATCTGTTCAGTTGACATTGACGAGTCGCGGTACATGGTAACGTGAATATACTCCTACTTAAAACATTGTATACTTTTTCGATCGTGAAAAAAAAAACTTGAGGTGTATCCACTTTGGAGATAAAAATTGATTTAGCCTTATCGTGAAAATCGACCCCAAAAAAAAAATCAATGGTGCATTGCATTATTGTGTAAAGATTGCCCAAAAAATGTTTTTAGAACCTTGACGTAACAAGCGAGTTAGTTTTGTAACATAAAAAGAGATAGATGTACGGTGGCTACGTGACATATAGGGGGCAGCACTTAATATCTTTAAGGAAATCAATGATTAAAGCATTCTAATGGCCATGTATAACACCAAGAATCGTGGATTGATTGCTTGAGACTAGATACTGAATCATGGATTGATCGCTTGAGACTACATATTGGAATATTTAACTTTTTATCATTATAACGGATGTCATCTCTTCATATAGTACTCTTAAAATTGCTCCTACATATTTACCATCGAGAGAGAGCATTTGATACATTCTTTATTTTCGCTGACGTAGCACGCCAACTCGACCTGACAGCATAGACTGACCACGGGAAATGATATTTTTGCCCCTTCTCTATTTCTTCTATCTCTATCCCTTCCTCGCTCGAGCTCCGGCCATGGCCGACGATGGGGTCCATGGCGGCGGCTGACAGGACATAGGGGAAGTTGGGGACGAGACAGCCGGAGCTACGGCCTGTAGGTCCACAGCCACGCCCGACGCCGGCGACGAACATGGCGGCACCTGGAGCACGCACAGGAGCACGGCCTCCTCGGCGCCGGCGACGAACATGGTGGCCCCGTGCCTCCTCGTGCTCGTGCTCCTCTGCTTCCTCGCCGGTGGAGGACGCGCATCACCGGCCACAGACGAGCTGCGCCTGTCACTTCGTGCGCGATCGCTGCCGGTACCGGCGAGCTAGCTTCCCCCGCCGGCGATGAACATGGTGGCACCTCACCGGACTAGGAGCTCGCGCGGCCAGAAGGGGAGGAGCCGGACCTCGCGCGTGCCGCCGGGGACGGGGGAGCAGCGACCGGAAGGGGAGGACGCGGTATTCTGTGGACCGTACAGCCCCTGGGTGTGCCTCGGTTGGGGCACTGCAACCCACTCCCCGGTGGCCGGATTGCACACGACGTAGAAGGGCGGTGGTGAAGGCCATTCCCTTGTGTCCTGGCCCCGCAAGAGGAGCAGCCCGTTGCAAGAGTCCAGCAGACCCATGTCCCAGCAGGTGGGGGGCAGGAAGGAGAGAGCCGTATCGACCCCAGGCGGAGACGTGGGCAGGCCGACGAATCCATGGGGCCAGGGCGGGTGGCTGACGCGGTGACGGGAGAAGAAGAGCCCCGACAGCGTCTGCGCGAACCTGCCGCGGTGGTCCGGATCGGAGATGAGGGTCCGCCAGGCCCGCGACACGCACTTGCAGCGGCAAAGCGACTTGGCCGGCAGCCGCGCGAGGATCTCGACGATGAGCTCGTCCGGGAGGACGGCCGCCCGGCTGCTCCCACCTTCCTCCATCCCGAGCAGCTAGGCGCGGCCGAACCTGCGATTGGGTTGAGGACCCGATTGGATTCACTGCGCTTATTTTTCTCTGGGGTTTCGGGGGATCGAGACTCACTTGATTGCTTGCTCAGCTCTCGTACGGCCCGGAAGAGGAATAAACCCCGCCGTTGCAGATCGTCGCCGGCGTCACCAATCAACAGGCCCCGCAGCAGGATGTGTGTTCAGTCTTTGTCTATGGGATGCATCTATACCGAGCGACGAGGACGAGACCGACGAGGAAGAAATAGATGAGGGATAATAAAGTCATTTCGCATTCTACAGACACGCTGACTTTCCTACGTGTCCGTATGTAAAAATGGTTTAAAGTTGTGAATTCATCTATCTCGATGGTAAATATGTAGAAGCAATTTTAAAAGTGCTATCTGAAGAGATGACATCCGTTATAATGGTAAATAGTTAAACATCCCCCAGATATTGGTTCTTTCCTTTTAAAAATAATCCTTTTTATTTCTTTTACCTTTATTTGATTCAATTAAATTTTGTTATGTCTTGTATAATTCAATGGTCCATATTTATCTAAGCTCTTACCTCTTATGAGGTAACGGGGGTACCGTAGCATTGCCCAATGTGGTATGACTGAGCTTGTGAATTTATGCTTGTTGGTTCTTATAAACGAGGCCGTACAGATTTTTTATATCACTCATAATTACTCTGTAGTATCTAAGTTTCGATCACTTTTGTTGTCTATATATTCATGTTAATCTATATAGTTCATTGGTTTGGCAGTGTAGCAATGCGCATTGCGAAGACGTGGCCTTAGGATGGCAATACACAAGCAGTCAAGCAAAGCATATCCAAATCAATAAAATAATCAAACACATGGCCTCACAAGAAGAGAGGAGCACAGCCGAGGAAGGATGGGGGAAGGGACCGAGGGGGAGGGAGACGCAGGAAGATTCGGAGAAGAAGGAGGTCACGGATGGGGCCGCCGCCGCCACCACCGGATTCCACCCTCTTCTCTTGTCTTTCGCTCTCTCTGTCCTCCCTTAGAGCTCATTCAGTTTTCCTCAGGAATGAGATCTTTTGAACAATTCCCCGTTGGAATGGTTCACTAATCTGCTGGAACTAGGTCCAATCGTAAGAAATAGAACGGACCCTTAATTAGCTTTTTCCCGTGAGGCGACGCCTATAGCCTATAAGCACGACGCATGCAGCATGCCGCGATTGAAAAATCGCTCGATCAGACAACTAGGCGACGAGAGGAATAAATAGAGAAGAGGATCAATGAGCTTACGAAGCAATGCTCGAAGAATACAGCCGAAATTATCTTCATCTGACATTGTATCGAAGGGTTTTATATTTTTTAAAATTTATTTTATCGCGTGATGAGACTTAAATTTTAAAAAATAGAAAACCCTTCAATACGATGTCGGATGAAGATAATTTTTATATGTAAATTGTAGACCTCGATGAGATCTACAACTTTATAGTTTTATTTTTTTTCATTTGAGAAAAGTAAGATGCTCGAAAAAATAATATAAAATTTCAGCACCATAATAATCGCCTACTAGCGTTTGCCGTATTAGAGCACTAATATAATATTTGTATGGAGTTAAATAAAAATACTTTTTATACCAAAGTTGTAGCTCTCAATGAGATCTACAACTTTGTAGTTTTGAGTTTTTTTATTTGAGGACATTAAGATGCTTAAAAAAATAATATAAAATTTCGACGCATCCCAAAAATATCAAAAGTTACTGTTTATACACCAAAACCGCCCAGAAGGTTGAAAGTTGAACGGTTTCAAGGGTTGGAGGGCCAAAGTTATCCGGTTTTAAAGTTCGAGGTTGAAATTCGGACTTTGACGAGAGTTGGAGGGTGTAAATTGGACTTTACCTGAAAAAAAAAGATGCCGACAAGAGAGATCGATAGCATAACACAGATGAAGTTGTCTTGTAGTTCACATAGGTATACTTCACTGGTTATCGATTAAGAAGATGTTAGTTCTTAGCAGCAATGTTCCTACAAGGGAAGAACGGAGACCGGAATAGATATTTTATAACATGGTAATGTAAGTGTTTCTGAAATGGCATTCCACGGACTAAGAATATGGTCATGTTCTACGTTTCTGGCCGGTAAGTTTTAGTTAATGGAAGGACTAATATATGTTGCACGTAAAAAAAAAGATAAGATTCTCTTAAAAGGGTGCATAGCTGAGCTCTCTTTGATTAATTTGTAACAAATTCTTATGACATATAGGTTTCCCATATATAGCAATTCTTTTTTGCATAGTACATTTTCTACGGCACCTTCACTGCTTTTGGCTTCCAACTTTCTGCTTTAACTAGCAAAAGTCTGCTTTCAAAAAAACTAGCAAAAGTGCACGTGCATTGCATGAGCCCAAGACGTCTTTGCAATCAGACTCTGTATGATCAATTAGACGTTTGTTATTCCAATTTGTGTGAACACGGGTTTTGAATCCATAGGATATGAGGGGCAATTTGGGAAGGTAAAAAAAGTAGGTTGAACAACAGAAGATGCCGCCTGTCTATCATGCTCCATCGGAACCGGCTGCATGCAGTAATTCGTATTACTGTCATGTTTGGCACGTTTCCACCTCACTGTTGAAGCTATTTTTTTTTAGTTTCAGTTCCATGAACAGCTTTATCGGTGGAGCTGGAGCCGTTCCAGTGGCAAAACAGCTACGCATCGAGTTCTTTAAAACATGCCCTCATAGACATGCTCTCACAGACGCCGTGCAGGATGAAGTGAAGCTGGGTGAAGCCACTATTTTTAGTTCCATCCCACCTCAAACATTTGTGAGACCACGATTTAAGGGGCTTCCTGGATGAAGCTGTTTTGTTTTACCCCGTTTGGCACAAAACAGCTGCAAATGGCTCTTTAAGCCCATAGAGAAGCTCTGCCAAACGAGGTTGTCGGTGTTTCGAGTTACCACCGACGAGTAAATTTGTATTATTGCGCGTCTAATCTGGATAGTGTGCTAAGAGGACACGAGATTTATACTGGTTCAGACAGAATGTCCTTACGTCCAATTCGTTGTTGTTGCTCGCGTTACTAGCACTGAAGGTTCATAATAGGGGTTACAAACGGTCGAGAGAGGGACTGGTTCCAAGTCTCTAGTGGTGTGTTGCGGTGGGCTCTGATTCAAGTCGAGTCGAGTCGAGTTCGGATGTGTTGATTCGGTTGTCCGATACCCCCTAATAGGACGCCCTGCTTTCCCTTTTATAGGCCAAGAGGAAGCAGGGGTTACAGTGGAGGGAGAAGAGGAGATTCAGAAGGAGACAGCTTCACTTCATGTGCGGGTCCCGTCGACCCTGTAGACGTCAATAGGGACAGCTTCACGTCGTGGCCCTGTCCGTCACTGGCGTCATGTGCGGGTGTCGTCTGCCGGTCATGGCGCTCCACTTCATCCTGGCACTTGTCGTGGTGAACTGACGCGCCCATTAATGTCCGTACGGAGGTTAGGCAGAGCAGCACCGGTACACCCGACGCTGTTCCTAACATGAACCCCCAGGTATGGCCCGTTGTGGGTCGTGGGCTACATCGAGACGTGCCGGTCTCTTCCCTGGCGTCAGAGCTTTGACCTAGACCCATACGCTTGTACTTGAGTGGTTGGCGGCAGTATGGGTCTTCGTCGGGTGAGGCAGAGCCCTCCCCTAGAGGCCGGGCGAGGCGGAGCGCAGAGCCAAGGGTCGGGCGAGGCAGAGCGCAGACCTAAGGGTCAAGCGAGGAAGAGTCCACGTCCTTGGTGTCGGACGAGACGGAGCCCGCCGCCAGAGGTCGGGCGAGGTGGAGTTTGCCCTCAGGGGTCAGTCAAGGCGGAGCGCGGACCTAAGGATCAGGCGAGGCGGAGCCCGCGGCCTTGGTGTCGGACGAGACAGAGCCCACCCCCAGAGGTCGGGTGAGGCAGAATCCGCCCTCAGGGGTCAGTCAAGGCGGAGCGTGGATCGAAGGGTCGGGCGAGGTGGAGCTCATGGCCTCGCTGTCGGGTGAGGCGGAGCCAACCCTCAGGTGTCGAGTGAGGCGGAGCCCGCGGCCTCGGTGTTGGGCGAGGCGGAGCCAACCCTTAGGGGTCGAGCGAGGTGGAGCTCGTGGCCTCGGTGTCAGGCGAGGCAGGGGTTGGGCGAGGCAAAGCCCACGACCTCGGTGTCGGGCGAGGCGGAGCCCGTGGCCTCGGTGTCGGGCGAGGCGGAGCCAACCCTCAGAGGTCGGACGAGGCGGAGCCCACAACCTTGGTGTCGAGCGAAGCGGAGCCACGCTTAGGGGTCGGGCGAGGTGGAGCTTGCATACCTAGGGGCGGCTAAGAGCTGTAGTCGCGCTCTTGGCCGCTCGGATAAATCTACATTGATGGTTATTAGTTCCTCTTCGGGTACCCTAGTATTGGTCCCCGACAGTAGCCCCCGAGCCTGCGGAGGAGTAGAATACTCCTTTGGAGGTTTTTTCGGAAGGGATGACTCTGAGGGCCCTGGCCTTCTTTTGTTGTCCACGGCATGTTCTGGGGATGGTGATTCCCTCTTGTAGAGGTCGGACCCTTCACGGGTACGGCCGTGAGATTTGGTGGTTTGTTTGTCGGCTAGTTCGATTGGGGTCCCGGCATCCCATTCGCGGGGATCCGGCTAGGGCCAGCTTAGCGATCGACTTTAGATTCTCAGCAGTCAATCCATATAGTTCTCGGGTTCGTTCGACCGGTCCCGAGGGCTTTCCGCCTTTCTTCAGAAAAAAACCATGGATCATACCAGGCTGAGACTCGATTGTGGTTTGGGATGCCCGTGGTGCTCGTGCGCCTTGGTATTGGTCTCTTGCGGGCCCATCTCTTTCTATCCCTTATCCTAGGGGTGCCTAGAGAGGTTGTCAAACTCGTTGATGGGTCAACCTTCAAACTCCTGGGCCCAGGCGGGCCGTAGAGGTGTTTTTTGATCCGTATTCCTCTTACTTGTGACGAGTCGTGACCCGTCCGGAGAGGCGAAACGTCCGGTGAGTTTTCCGAGGGGATG